TGTCATAATAAAAATAAATACAGTAATGAAAAAAAAGTACAACAAAGAAATCTATGCTTAAAAAGAGTCACTTGTTCTTTATTAGATAATTAAAAAAAGCACCCAAAAATAAATGTAGTATCAACGAAACAATCCAATTACTATGTCAGTGAAATGATTGTACTTGATGGTTCATAGCCAATTTCTTAAAGTTCGGTTCAATATTTTTACTGAGGTAAGGACGCAAGTCCCCTCGTTGCATGATTTCGAGTCTATTTCTCTCTTTTGTGACTAGATCCATAACAGCACTGAATCCACGTTCGACGAAGTAGGAGAAAGGGAAGGAAATTAAAAATAATTTTGAAAATAAGAATGAATTTTGACAGTCCGGAGTAGAGACGACTGATGTTACCTTGAAGCCAAAATTCTGTGAGCTATCACCATTTCATAGCTTCATTAGTTGAAAGTTTGACCGATTTCTCCTGAATCTGAACCTCTTTTGTTTCAATATTCAAAAAAAAAAAGGGTTAATAACCCATTGAAGGACTTCCAGAACAAAACATATTTATTACATATTCACTTTAAAAGCATCTTTGAAAAGAAAAAGGAATCGCAAGGAGAAATTTTAGAAGTCTCTTTGTATTTATTTACAATATATATTAACGTCGAGTCCCCAGATTAAAATAGCCCTTTTTTTGTCCGTAAAATTATACTATGTAACAATTAAAAAAAATTTGAATTTCACAATTTTATGGGCATAACCATTTCGAAGTTCGTTCAAAACGGGGCATGATATCTTTAGATACAATACGTGGATGCAAAAAATGTACTTAAAACTTTATTTGCAAAACATTTAAATGATTCAAAAGTCAATCGATGCATATAAAAATAACATTACATATCAAAATGTTCTTTAAATTTGCATGAAATTTCAAATTTTTATAACGAATAATTTTTGCGTTATGAGAGTAAGAAGCGTAGAAATTTTTTGAAAAAGCGGTTACTGCTACAACTATTTTCCTTTATTACGGGGCCTCCTTGGCCGAGCGGTATCGCCGGTCCAAACGCTCTGTTAAGCGTGGAGGTAGCGGGTTCTAATCCCGCCGTAACCCTGGATGTATTCTTTGTGATGTCTTTCTCTGAATTGTTCTATCTGTATTTTCTACTTGACAATGACTTATAAGCCTATATTGAGCACACAAGCCAGCAAATGTATGTAATTTCAATAAAATAAATAAATAAATCCTTTATTACGGAAGTAATTTTTACACTTACAATGTATGGTAAATTGCACCATACAGTACAAAATACATCGATAACAGAAGAAAAAAATTAGATTTAAATTTGCACTAAAAGGAATCTGCACATTATGGTATCAATATTAGTGATTTTAGATTCTTTGAAACACACTTGAAAAAAATGATGTGAGACAAAAATGTAAAATATAAAATTCGTTTTAATTTAAATATTTTGAATTAATTTGTTTGAGTCCCCTTGTTGGGGGAGACTTGACCCCTTGTTGGGCAGAGTCTGGTGCCATCCTTGTTTCCTTCTATATTTGTCTTGTTTTTCTTTTCTACTGCTTTATGCTTCTGTAATTTTTACTGCATTGTATTACATAATTCACTATTTATTCTTGTATTCTTTTTCTAGACCTAGCAAAACTTTTTGGATACAGAGAAAGCATTTTTGACTTTTGTCTTAGCTTTCTCGATAGAAAGAGTTTTGCATTTTTGTGACAATTCAAGGCTGGTGACGTCAGCCTTAATTGTTATTTCCTGATGACCCCCTGATGACGTCAGCCTTAATTGTCATATTTTTTCATTTTTTACTAATTTTTCTTCGTCTCATGTATTTTATTCCTCTGGGTTGCTCTGCTGCTTAGCGCATTTTTGCCATTTGGATGTTATTTTTATTTTTATTAATTGCTTGCATTAATAATGAATTCTTTTCTTAATCTTGTTTTGCAGCTTTCAGCTTATCCGGCGATAAACGTCGAGGTTTCAAAAAAATGGGCGGTCCTTTTGTCTGTATACAATGTTCCACTCCGTGCTTAGCTTTTCTTGGCTTGACACCTGATCTAATCAGAGCAGGAAACTTTGACAACAAATGGTGGAATTTAGAGTTCGCTAAAATTACTTTTACCGTTGAAGAAATCCCAGCATACCGGGTACCTCTTGTTTGCAGCTTGGTCAAAGGATCAATTACTGCAGCATTTTTGATGTCGACTAATAACCCAAAATTGCGTAAGAAATCAGCTCCGATAATTGGATGTGGCACGGCAGCGATGATAGAAGGCCAACTGAACTCTCTTCTAAGTCCGAGGTCTAATTTCAACAGGCGTTGGCCGAGCGCTGGAATGGTCGTATCGTTTGCGGCGAACAATTTCATCTGTGCTGTATGGTCACTAGATGCATAGGCAGCACGAGGTATAACAGAGACGTCAGCTCCCGTATCGATGAGATAACGTGAGGATGTAGACTTGTCTGTCAGATAAAGCCGCTGAATCATCGCTTCGCCGTCACCATTTGACTGAATGACGGCCTTAGCAGTTTTCCGGCTGGAACGAACATGGAGGCTATTTTGTCGCTCGTTGCTAGAATTTTTTATGATACCTGCGAATTCGCAGTCTGTCGCCTTCGGCTAGTAGAGCGTTTCTGACTAGAACTTTTTGACAGGTCATTTGTACGAGCTTCCAACCGTGAGAGACGAGCTGTGTCAATAAAGACCGCAAATCCGAATGATCCGTCAAACTAGCAACTGTGCTGACTGACTGTCGCAGCCATAATACCATCAGCCATCTCATCTAGGTTATCGTTGGAAATCTGTTGAACATTTGTAGGCAACCTCCGCAAAAATAAAGATTTAAGAAGTTCATCGCTAATTCTTGCACCGGCTTTATTCCGCACATCCAAAAGCAGTCTTGAAGGACGGCGGTCTCCGAGTTGCATTCCAGAAATTAAATCCCTTAAACGCTGTGTTTCAGATTCAGCATATTGAGAACACAATCTTTTTTTCAGTGCGGTGAAAGGCTCATCTACAGGTGGACTGATAACAATATCGCTGATACTTCCTCCGGTTGCAGAGCAAAAACTACGGGGTGAAATGTCGTTGACTCTGTTGTCACTCCAGCAAGCGTGAACTGACTTTCAATTTGTCTGAACCATAACACTGGATTACTTCTCCGTGGCGGCTTTACAGTGACACGAGCAATTTGTTGATCAGCAGTTACCGTAGACTCGGGCATTTTTTGCATTAATCCGAAATATACAAGTCCAACAAGAGAGGAAATTTGTACTCACAGCTTGCCAAAATTTTTAAAACTTGAAACGTGTCAACATTCTGTCGTAATCCATCAAATAGTAGTGCTTCCCAAATGCAGTTTACAGAAACACAAATTCCCGTGTGAAATTGAATGCCCAGAACAGCGGCGGCGCTCATGAATTTTTAATATAGAGATAAAATTTCTTACATTGATTGTGTTCATATACTAGATAAAAATTCATATAAAAAATTATAGTATATTTGTTAAAGCTGTGGTGGCTCTGGGGATAAAGCTCTCCCAATCAGGTAAACCCGATTTTGAATCTCAACAATGGCTGGTCGATACAAGTCCCACACCCAGCTTGCACTGACCACTGTGCTGACGAAAAAAATCCCCAGTGGTAGACCGAACATGTGTTAGTGTCCCCTTGCCATCAGGCTTACCCTTAGAGGTTTTTGTGGTTTTCCTCTCCATGTAACACAAATGACGGTTAGTTCCATCAAAAAGTCTTTCCCCCATTGAGAATTTTTCCCCCCAGAACTTGATCCAGGAGTTTGCTTGTTCTCTGGATTGGTTTCAAAATTACAAGGCAACAGTGTTAGAAATCAGTAATCGTAATATCGCCAGGGACAAGTTTAATAGCCTTTAAACAGATACATAAATCTTGATGGATCTATCACCACCACTAAATAGACCACAATTGAAGCTATCCTGGAATATCATTTCCCATTGGACCAATCCCCCTTGCCCGGAACCTGCAAGTTATAACAAAGATCAACTATTTACTAGGAGTGAAATTACAGCTGTTGTTAATAGTATAAAAAACAATAAAGATGCAGGTTCTGACAACATCCCTGTCATTAAATCCATATTTTACCTGGAACCAAAATGGTTCATTAACATCTTGAATAAATGCCATTCCCTCAATTATTTCCCTACATTATATAGAGAGGAAAATACAAACTAATTTTTTTTACATTTTCAAACAAAATCAAGAAATTAACAAAACATCTGAATTCCGAAGGAAAAAAAATCACCTCAAATAGAGAAATGATTAAAAAGAGAGAAGTCATAAGAAAAATGAATGCAATTTTATTTATTTTGCAATTAAAGATATTTATATATTAATTCCCAGGATTTACAGCAGCTGATAAGTAATAATAAATGACTCGTTAACAAAATTACTTATATTTAAACTTCCTAATAACTACTGTAGATGGCACTTAAAAATTTGTAGTATTTTTTAATTTCACAGTCTGGCAATCCTGAGGATTGCATAAACTACAGGTATATCGTGAAACAAGAAAGAGCGGAGGAGACATATATAACAGATTATTGAATGACTATGACGACCATTACGGTGCACTAGATCTGAATAGGTATGCAATAAGGTCGATTACTCGGTACGGATAAAAGTTGACACGGATGCATATTCATCTGGATATATAAATGCCTAATATGTTTTGCACTTAAAAGTGTTTACAAACACTTAAATTATAATGAAATACTAAGTAAAGTTTTTCCTACAAGAAAAATATTTTTCTGACAACTAATAAATAGCACCAAATTATGAAAATATCCCATGCATAAAATAATGAAGAGATGGTTTCTTATTTTTATCAGCTTTGTTAGTAAAGAAAAAAGGATTAAACATCTCAAAACCAAACATTTAGTTTACAATAAACTTGAGAAAAAAAAAGGTGTGATTTAAGGGTGAAAAGGTGTGTGCAAAATATTTTTTAAAAAAAGTAAGAGATGTATTAAAAACTTTTATTAGAAAATATAATTTACAACAAAGATCTCTATAACAAAATTATTCTCAGTTTTTAATAAAACTATCTGAATTGATTAACAAGTTTAGCTGTTTTGTAATCAACTCTTAATTGGACAAAGTTCATGAGCACAGTTCGATCAAGACATGCCTAAAGAAATGAAAAAGATCAATATATTTACCAAATATGAATGAAATCAGAGCACAAAACTTTTGCCAGCTACTATACATATATATATATATGCTAGCCATGTATAATATATACCTATACAGGGGTCTGTCCAGGCCGAATTTACTACCGTTTAGCGGTACCTTCACAAATTCAATTTTAGGAAAAACGGTAGTTTCACAAAATCAACTTTAGGAAAAACGGTAGTTTCACAAAATACTTTTCGTAAAATTTTATTTTTGTATCCCTTAAGACACGATAAATTCATATTTTTACCATATTTTTGTGTTGATTTTTTAATATAATTTTTAATTTTTCACAAATTATGTCTAAATTTTCACAAAATGGGTACCTCTCAGAAAAACCTAGACAGACCCCTGCTATAGGTTAACCATGCATGAAAACAAAAAATTAATCAGGATATAGGCATAAAAAATAGGCAGGAATCCAAAAGTAGATGTTCCAGTTTGGTGGTGAGCAGTACGTGGAACCCCCCAGTGTTTAGTCTGGTGTGATGTCACATAGTAATAAGACTTTGATAATGTTTTTTCTCCTCTTTCCTTTAATTTTTAGGGAATGGTTGACCTTGTGGTCAAAATCGACCTTCAAATGAGCAAAACTTTGAAGGTCCACTCTTGTTATTGGCCACCTTCAAGTACCCCTCTTAGTGACATAGGCTAATAAATATACCACAGGCTTCTTTTTGGCCGGTTTTTCCCCTTGAACTTCACACCTTTTGCTGAGAGCAATGAATCTAAACGTACGTTACGATGTAAAAATATGATATACATTTAAATAATCTGCCACAACTAATTTGTGGATTTAAAAAAAATAGGAAGTAGATGACTATTTACTTCCACTACGTGGTGGATTACCTTCTACTGGAAATATGTAACGAGTTTGTACTTGAATCAGAATTAGTTATGTTCCGTCATCTTGAACTTGATGCCTAGTGATTTGGAGGACATTGTTGTGCTGTCATCGCCATGTTTCTTTCCCACTACTTTGATTTTTGATTTCTGTGACTCATTCCCTGTTCTTACAAGGTCAATTCCAGTCGGATTCGAATGAATAAATGTTGAATACATAAAAGCGGCAGAGTCATCAAGCTGACCTGAATGGATATATCAAAGAATAATTTATGTCAAAGTCTAAAGTTCGTTGTTGATTTGGGAACGTGATGGATGCTTTGATCTGAGAAGTGATGTGATAAGATTGCGATTCTAAGATCGAGATATTGCATGAAAGAAATAAAAGGATACACTGCAGTATAAATGGATTGTTTATTTTAGCGTTCTATATCGTCACATATTTCTTGTCATTTAGTTTGTACCAGATGTGATCAAAAGTAAAGGGGTAAGTACCATTTTTATTATCTCTGTTGCATCTCTCTGCTTACTCACTTTCCAATTCTGTTAAGTAAATTAGAAACTTGAACATATCATCTTGTAAAAAATTAAAATCTTTCAGCTACAACACAAAAATTGTACTTATTTGTTCCCACTATTTTTCTGGAGTCAATTATACCACAGCTTGGTATACCCTGAACATATATCACAGGAGAACCAGGCCTTTTACATTATTCTACTAATTCTAAATATAAAGCAAAAATGAAGAATATTATTTAAAATAATCAGATAATCTTTAAAAAAATTTTATTTTTCAATTGTGCAACACTTAATTTTATTCCTTTTAACAATCTTACATGTTAATTTGTTACGAATATAATAGTCTTTCAGTTTACATTCAAAAGACCAAAATTTTTATTATGTATGGTCTAGAATAAATCTATCCGGAAATACAAGAAGAAGAAGAAGTAATAACAGAAGAATAAGAATAACTATAATAAATAACTTACTAACAGAATTAGAAATAACTTACCAACTGATCAACAGTACACATCTGTTTCAGATTGCTAGGCTCCACCACTAGTAAATTACACAAAGCATGTAAAGTTTCAAAAAGAGTATTTAACAATGGTATTTGAAACTCCCTGACGCACCTTCTGTATTCATTTAAATCACAAATAACTACCATTGCACCTGTTACAAAGAGTAATAAAACTATAAATGAGAATTTAAATATAGGCTGACTATCTAAAGAACCTCCTTCACCATAAGTCAGTGGCGGTTACTAGGTTTAAATATTTCAAGTAAGGGTCAATACTTAAAACATATTTTGACCGATAGAAAGAAAATCAGAGGAGAGAGTTCTCTTTGAGATGCGTTATTTCCATAGCAGCAGGCGTAATTCGTGGGGAGGAGAATTCTTTCTATAGACAACACATTGATTTAAAAACAGATTGGACAAAACAAGATTATATCAAACTTAAAATTCACATTTGAAAAATTAAGTTTAAAAATTATTCACTTAAAAAATAATAATTCTTATATCGAAGTAAATAAATCTAACAAATTTATATATTTTAACCAATTCATAGATTGGAACATGAAAACTATCTTTTTTTTCTGAAGCTTGACAGCAACTATTTAAACTTAACCAATCTTTACACACTGGCAAAAACAAATAATGGGAAGGGACAAATGTTTTTTTATAAATAAAAAACAAAACAAAAAGCAATTAAGCAAATGAAAACAACTCAGGTCGAAATACTATGCAATCTATGACTCATATATAGATAAAATCTGTACCCTAAATAAGGAAACTGATCTTTAGTCGAGTACAGCAGCTTTGACCCTCTCAGTTAGAGAAAAATATAACAGTTATACAACTCTCACATCGACATTTCATACTCTTAACGAGGGTCCTTATGAATTCCTAAGGCACCAAGGCACTCATGAGCTCACAGATGGTTGTCAAAGCTGGTCTTCAAATTGTAATTGAACGTCCAAGGGCATACCATACATATTGGATGGGATTAAGGTCAGGGGATACCACTGGCCACTTCCAATTGCTGCATAACCTCTGATGAGAGGTATTCGTTAACAAACTGAGCCCAGTCGGGACAGATGTTATTTCCATAAAGATAAAACTCGGGCCACATGCTCTACAGAAAAGGTGCACGGATCTCGTTTCGATACCACCGACCCGACAGCGTATCTTTATGGAACCTGCTCAAGCCACCTCGACCCTACCAGCCTTTTTCGACAATGTCAGAGGGCCAATATTGACTACTTGGTTCTCTTCAGACTGAATTGCAACTCATCACTGAAGAGATTTCAATCATTTCTGTTCAAGACTGGTGACCTTGACCAGGTCAGAGGACCACTGTTCCTGTTTCTCTGAACTGTTTGCACAGAGTGGACACCACATTTCTTAATCCCCCCCCCCGAGATCCTCACAGCACAGCAAATAGCCTGCGATTGGAGTGTCTCGATTCTCCCAATTATCTGCCATCGTGTGGCATTTTCTAAAAAATGATGACTGATCATACTAACGAAGGGTAAACAAAGAATTTTAGAAAAAAAGCTACTATGGTTTAAAATGTCCTTTGGCAAAGAAAATGCGCTACATAAATGCAATGCCTTTTCATGTCACAAGCCACTGTGTGGCAAAGCTATTCGCGGAGATTGCCTTATTTTCATATTCTCATTTGGTTCTTTTTTAAAAAAAACTGTTCCACCTTTTAATTATTTTATCTATCTATTTTAAGTAATAGGCGCTATTAGCCCTACCAATACTGAAATTTGTTTACAAAGATTTCTATGTAAATATTATGATTACACAAATAAATTGGTGCAATAAAATGCTTCAAAAGATAAATCAGGGTGGCCACTCAAATCAAGGCTCCCTAATTTTTCCAGGTAAAAATCTTAAAATTTCCAGGTATTTTTTTCTCTCATAAAGTGTAGGATGAGTACAGTGTCAATATTATAAGTATTATATTTAAAAATCATCTTTTGAAAATAATTAGACTAAATTTATTTTATCAACTTAGCAAGATTTTGTTTATTTTTTAAATGTGTGATGTTTTGGTACAACTGATGCAGAGCAAGGAGTCCCAAAATAGTAAGTGCGCCAAAAACATCGATAAAGTGAGCCAAAGGGTGAGTTTGGCAAAGTTTCCTCTTGCTGTAGGGGTTGCAACCATTTAGGAATCAGTAGAAAGTTTGCATAGCTGAGAAAAGGTGACCTGGTTTCAAGATGACACACCTGGTGAGTGAATCCTAGATTCTTTCCCCCTTTGTATTACTTAATGTTATGTCAAATTGTAATCAAGAATATTTTAATAATTAAATTTAACTTTAACTATGTGTTTTCAAATTTTAACTCAAATTAACATGATACATACTAAAGTGAAATCAATAGGTGTATCACAACATTAATTTTCAAAAGATTAAGATAGCAGTGGAGAAAATAATGGAATATATATTGTTCTAATTGAATGAAAAATACTGATGTGTTACTTTAACAAGTTTTTGCACAAAGTATAGCAAATACAGAATGATGCAGGTACAGAATGATGCAGGTAAGCACTGGTTAACATATTTTCATTAAGCAAAAGATTCCATACATCAAAAATTTTTTATATTTATTTACATTTCAATATAGAGCCATTTTATCCAAATGTTTATAAAATTCATGGATCACATTCTCTTTAAACCAATATTTTGAATCCAATGTTCAAATAATGTTTGTTTTGAATTAGCATCATTATTATTAGAGATTTAATATTTAGTATTTAAAAACTTATGTCGCGAATGTAAAATTGCCAAATTTTTTGTAGCATATTCTATAGAAAGAAACTAGATAAAATTCTATACAATTTTTTTTTCTTATTTGAAATTAAAATATTTAAAGAATTCCAGTCTTACTATATGTTTTTTAGTTCAGATTAGTTAATTGTTTTTACAACTAGGCAATTCCATTCTTTCGTACGTAAAAAATGAACATAAACTTCTTAGAAAAACCTCTCTCATAATAATCATAAAATTTTTATATTAAATATTTAGTACATCATAACTTATCAAAAACCAATTTGTATCATAAAAACTGATAACAATAAGTTCAAATTAAATTATTGGAGTCGGACATAAATTGCAAATGATTACTCATTTACAAGCTGTCTAAACTACGTGAATTTATTTGTAATTTGAATGTAAACTTGCCTGAATTTTAAAGATCATATTTAATAAATAATTATAAATAATAATAATAATAAATAATTCATATTAATAAAGAATTTTGTGCAGTTCTTAATTTGTAAAATATGATACATAATTCATCTAAATGAAAACCTTTACTTTGCTGGCAGACGTAAAATATTTGGTGTCAGACGAAAATTTTTCAAGTTGGATATAAATTTAAGTCCATAATAACCATCACAATGACTGAAAATTATTTTAATCTTAATATAATTTTTGATTAAGTAGATTCTTTAAATTTAAAATGCCCACGATTTCCTATTGGAATAGATGGATCAATGTGTTTTATAACATTTTCCATCTTGTAAAAGTTAGTTGAAAAACCACTAATTTAAATTTTAACTATGCAATGTATATTAACTACAATGTAAATAGAACTCATATTTAAGTAATATTTTCTTAAATCTAATAATTTTAAAAATCTTGGAATAAAAAGAATTGGCGCTATTTTTTTTTCTATATTTTTTAAATAAGATTTTTGTATACAATAAAAAAATCTATTGAGAAAATATATTACTGTACTTACATTAAAAAGAAAAAAAAATTTTTTTTTTTACTGTATTATTAGTTTATAACAATTTTTTCTAAGAAAAATAAATTGTTCATGCAGGTAGAAAATTTAATATTAATAGCTTTAGGAGGATAATTTAATAGCTTTAATTATTGCCTACAAAAAATTAAATAATCGTTTTGTACAGTTCTTACAATCTATTGTATTTGATGTTTAAAAGCAGACGATATTAATCAATATACCTTTAACTTGTATTTAGTGGCATAGCTAGCAGTGAACAAGAAAGAGCATTTGAGATGCACCCAAATTTATGAAAAATTAATTAAAAATGAATTCCAAAATAAATGTTTATCCCTTTTTAATACCCTTCTTCCAGTTTCATTTGCTAATGACAGGCCCAATAACTACAAACAATTTTTACTCCATTTACCTAAAATAGAATGTGTATGATTGATGTACTTCGCATTTATATTATTTTTTGCAAATTGGTGAATCACTTATCTCTCAATCAAAAACAATAAACATTGAAGTGCAATAAAAACAACACTTTACAAACGCATGCTGTTCAAGTTGAAATCGAATTAAAGTTTTTACAATGACGAGTTACATTGCTTTAAAGTTGTAAAATCTTATTCATGAATTTAGTCTTACAGAATCTAAACTTGTAACAGTCTGACATTGTATCATTTATATATCTTAGGGAGTGCAAAAACAAAGATCAGTGAAGGCTATTATTGCTTTTGAATATAGAAATAAGCGGCCTTGATAATGCTGATTATTAATAAATATTACTGTCTATAATACAGGGGTGATTGTGAGCCCAACTCAAAAATCCTGAAAATTTCTTGAGTAAAATCCTTAATGACGCATTTCAAAAAATTTATATCTTTATAAATTTAAATCAATGATATTTTCACAACATGAAATTCTAAATAAATTATATGCAGCATAATTTAAATTTATAATTTTGTATAAGTTTACTTTTATCTCTAATCACATTTATTATTCTACCAGAAAAAAATATTTACAAATGAAAGAGATGCCAAGTATAAAATCTAGTTCTAATATTTTTAAATAAAATATATAAAAAATTTTATACATAAATGTGATCGATGATTTCTTGAAACTTCTGGACCTTGGATTTCCGAAAATTTCCCAATCAAGGTTAGCGAAAAATCCGGAAATCCGAACTTTTTCCGGAGCACAATCATCTCTGATAATATTGTAATCACTCATTTTTATCGGCCTCTTTAATTTTTTTAAACCTTAAATATTAATTAAAACTTAAAAAATTTAGAATATACTTAAAAAGTACTTTTAACAATCATTAACTTACCAATGGAACTATATTGAAATTGTTGAAGATGATCAAGTATAGCTCGATGGAGTCTAGTGCCTAGCTCAGTTAAAACAGCTTCAACATTTTTACCATCAAGTGTTACTTTGATTTTCTTGATGCACTCAGTAATAAATTTAACAACACTACTACAAGCCTGAAATTAAAAAATTATTTAAGTCAGCTCAAATGTTAAAATTTAATAGATTCATTCGTCGTGACAAAAAATACATCTGAAAATTGCCTTAAAATTAGGATTCTCAAAATTTTGAGACTTTATATTTTAAAGTCTATTAATCTGTTCAAATATAAAAATTTTGTTAAGATCTATTTTTTGCATTAATATAAAAAAATAGAGTCTTAATTTTAAAGCAATAAAAAGAGCCAAGTTATTTAAATATTTTTATGTTCTTAAAGAATATGTGATTTACAGAAACTAAAACTTTTGAGACTTACTTAATTCTTTGAATTAGCAGTAAAATAACATGCCTGTAAAAGTCAAACTGGTAACTCACTCCTGTGCATAGATTCAAAGATTTTTGAGGTATTTAAACTATTACTTAGTATTCTATATGAAACTTAAGAATAAGTCCTGCTTTTGAATTTTACAGCAAGAAAACAAATACAGTATTTTTACATATTTCAATAGTCTACAAATATTCCATTCATAACAGGTGACAATGTATTATAAATTTAAAAGCTGTTGAGAGGTCACAAAGGAAAGTTTTATTTAGGGCAGAAACTTTATATTTCTGGTTAAAATAAAAGTCAATCTAGTCTACTTTCAAATTATGAATTAATTTGAAGGGAAAGATTTTATTAAAGTTAATTTCACTTCAGTTGCTTGAAAACTATAGTTTAAATGTTAATATTTATAACATCAATAATTTTACCTTTAAAGTTAGGAAGTTAACATAATAAATTTCCAAAAAACCTCATTTTTTCAAAAAAGTTAATTCTTTTCAAGTGAAAGGTTAACTTGCTTTACAGGATCTTTTAGGTTTAACCCACTTTAGCAAACCATGATTCTTGACACACAAAAACTGTTAAATGCAATATCATATTTGAGGTTCAAACATTCTTACTTTTTTTTTTCCTTGCTTTTTTTTCTTCTTTGTACTCGAATGAAAGTTGTTGTTGTTACTAATTCCCATCTGGTCTGATGGAGTCAGACCAGATCTATAAACCCATTGACATTTAGGAAGTCCGAAACTAAAAGAGGAGAGGAATGAATGTCGTTCCAGTTCAGCCCCAAACAGTTCAAGATGTGCTCAGGTGATGCCTGGTTTTGTTGGCATTTAGGGCAAAGAGGAAAGATCTTTTGATTGGCAGAAAATGTGAGACTTTTCAGGTGTCCACTGGCCAGTCGGGGTAAGCAAGTGTTGGTCTGCCTGTCACCAGGAAGAGATAGAGTCCTGGTCTTTTTGCTTTGTACCAGTAGTGAATAGGAGGAAGCAGTTTTTTTTGTTTGTTCTGGGCCTTTTGCCTTGCGAAAAGTTCAAGGTATGTAAGCTCTGAGGTGGAGGGGACTGGATGGTCTAGTCCCTGCCTTGCAAGAGTGTCACCAACTCGTTTCTGTGGATATCGACGTGGGACGGGATCCATTGAAAGTGGACTTCATGCTGCTGGGAAATGAGCTTTACTTTTCGCAAGATCGAAAAACTGGTTTTATCTCCAATGAGGGCCCAATTTTTGAGGTGTTGAATTGAACTATGGCTGTCAGATAGTATCCAAGTATTTCAAAAGTGCCCTTCACTCAAGATTTTCTCTAGTCCCCTGTCGATTGCAATTAGTTCGCTTCGAAAGACGGAACAAAAATCGAGGTTGCGTTGATGAAGAGTGTAGTTCTATTGAGGTGTTTCAATAAACACTCCACTGCCTGTCTGTCTATCCATTTTACTGCCATCAGTGTACATTTCGACGTTGTTTGAAGGGATTTTATTGATGATTTCCAGGGACGATTGTCTGAGGAAGTCAGGCACACAGTCTTTCTTATCAAGCGTGGTAGGGAGGCTTTCATGGAAACTAACATTGGGAAGATCTAAGCAAATGATGTTCCCGATGGTGTTCCTCCCTTGACAGGGCGGTGAGGCTTGAGCGCACCTGTTTAAGATTTTAAGTCATTAACGTATGTATATTTAACAGAAGCGCCACCTTTAATTTTCCTTAGATTTAATTGTTTTAAAATTTCACTTTAGGTTGCGTGGCAACCAGATATGGTTTTTGTTGTTCTTTTTTGTTGTAATTTAGGTATATATTTTTTAGAATCCGTTTTTGATGCTAAATTGTTGGTTATTAAAAGATTAAAGTTTTATATTTGTTGTCATTCATCTGTAGAACTTGTAGTTCATTTGATTGACTTATTTAAAAGGAGTCCGCATTATTTATTTCAACTTATTAACGACAGTTGTGGCGTCGGCGACAGAACTCGTTGATACGCTACTTCTGATTTGAAAAATGTTTTTAGTATCAAAAGGATTTAAAAAGGAAGATCTTATTATTGTTGCCCAAGAAATTGGAGAAGTATTACCTCAAAAAGTTACTGTATCGGATTTGAAAACAATCATTTCGAAAAGTAAAGAATATTTAGCTGATCCAGATTTTGTAACAAGTGTATTGGTAGCTACTGCCAATGATCGACGACAAAAGGAGGAATATGAAGAAAAATTGAGACAAAGAGAATATGAAGAGAGAGAAAATATAAGAAAACATCAACTGGAGTTGGCGAGACTTCAAGCTACATCGCATAGAACCGGTGAGTCTCCGCCAAATATTATTAGTGCCAGTGCGAGAAAGCAGTTTAATTTGCCAAAATTAGAACTTAGGCAATTTAGTGGAGATTTAAAAGATTGGCTACCATTTTGGGGTCAATTTGAATAAATTCATAAAAATACATATAGTGCCCCTGAAAACAAATTTCAATACCTGATTCAAGCTACAACTGTTGGATCTAGAGCTAGAGAAGTTGTAGAAAGCTTTCCACCAACCGTTGCAAACTATACCAAAGCAGTTGATAGCTTCAAAGCCCGATTTGGCAAGGATGACCTTTTGGTCGAAGTTTATGTTAGGGAATTGTTGAAGCTCATAGTTTCCATTCAAAAGCATGAAAAAATATCTATGACGTTTCTTTATGACAAACTCTAGTCATATCTTAGAGCTTTAGAAACGTTAGGTGCTATGACCGAGAAATGCGCTTCAATACTATTCCCTATGGTAGAATCCTGTTTCCAAGAAGAGTTTGGGCATGGAGAGAAGCATGGAACCGAAGTTCTTTGTGCGTTGCTTCTGTTGACGCCAAAGAGCGATTAACAAACATCATGACTTTTCTGAAGGCAGAAACGGAAGGCGAAGAAAGAATTAATTTGGCCATGTCAGGTTTTGGCTTGGGATCTGATGAAAAACGCCAGCCCTTTAAAAAGAAAGCAAGAGATTTGCCAACAAAAAGATTTCCAACAGCGGCAAATCTATTGACTACAGGTGTAAAGGAATTGAAGAAAGGATGTGTTTTTTGTTCTGGGAAACATAAAAGTTCAGATTGCTTTTCCGCTCGAAATATGACTTTGGCTGAAAGAGAGAACATAGTAAGAGAAAGCCAATGTTGTTTTGCCTGTTTAATGCAAGGACATCCAGTTCATAAGTGCAAAGCTTTTATAAAATGTGTCATATGCGGTAAAAGACATGAGGTACTAATGTGTGAATCTTTAGCTGTGAACCCGATAAACCTGGGCAGAAAAGTGAAAGCTCTGAAATAAACATGTCTAACATTACGTACTGTTCAAAAGTATTCCTTCAAACTATGAAACTAAAGCTGATATCTGATAGAAAAGAAATTGTGGTGAGAGCAGTTTTAGATTCTGGATAACAAAGAACACATATTTTAAAAAATTTGGCAGAAAAGATGGAATATGTTCCCTCGAGAAAAGAAACTCTCATACACTCTTTGTTTGGTCATACATCTGATAAATTTGAACACACGTGTTATAGAATTAGATTAAGGAATCCAGAGAATAATTTGACTTGTAACATGGAAGTTTTGGATCAAGCATCTATTTGTGATACTATAACATCTGTTAGTTTTGGACCCTGGTTAAAAGAGCTTGAAGAAATGAATATAAAGTTGTAGACGTCGGAAATGAGTCACAACCAGTTCAAATTCTGCTCTGAGCTGAAGTAATAGGAAACCTTATGACTGGAAAACGAAGAGTTTCGGCCAGTGGATTAGTAGCAATAGAGACACTACTGGGATGGACTTTAACAGGGAAAGCAACTGAATATGATTTATCGTCAAGCAACGCAATGTTGGTTACTTCCCTTTTAGTAAAAGAAATGGATATTTCGGAGCTGTGGAGATTAGATTCCTTAGGAATAAAAGATCCTTCAGAACAGAAATGTAGAGAGGAGCTGCAAGAAGCCTCAATGGAACATTTCTTAAATACAGTGAAAGTTGAAGGAGATGGCTGTTTTATAGTTAGTCTGCCATGGCTTGATGAGCATTTGCCTTTGCCAGATAATTATGATTTGGCGTTAAAGAGATTGCAAATGACAACAAGCAAGTTGAAAACCGACAAATTGTATGATGCCTACGGAGAAGTGTTCAAGGACTGGGAGAAAGAGGAAATAATTAAAGAGGTTTCAAAAGAAGACACGCGGATACCTTGTCACTACTTACCTCATCGACCTGTGATAAAGGAGAGCAGCACAACTAAAATCAGGCCCGTGTCCAATGCTTCTTCCAAGAGAAAAGGAGTTTTGTTTAAATGATTGTGTTGAGAAAGGGTTAAATTTGATAGAAGTAATTCCCTCAATAAAAAATAAATTTCGAAGACATAAATTTGGTGTAACAGCTGATATACGTAAAGCTTTTTTGAAAATAAGCATGAAAATGATAGAAATTTCTTGCGATTCTTATGGTATGGAGAAGATGGACAGCTCAAACATTTTCGTCATCGAAGAGTTGTGCTTGGCGTTTCCTGTAGTCCGTTTTGCTTGGAGCCACTATTCAATACCATTTGAATAATAAACTAGAGGAAGCAATGGGAGGGAATGAAAAATACCCTAAAGAGATCATACAGGAACTAATATGCAGTTTTTATGTAGATAATTGCCTCACAAGTGTGAAAACTGAATCAGAGTTGAAACAATTACACAATTCATACAATTCAAACAATTCATAGAAGTTGCTACTAATATTATGGCTGAAAGACAATTTGATTTACGGGGGTGGGAGTCTACTAACCCATCAGAACCTAATTCTAGTGAGACCAACATTCTGGGAATGAAGTGGAATAGACAAAGTGATACTCTGTTAATTAATATTCCTGATATGAAAGACACAAAACATGAAAAAATCACCAAAAGAAGCATTTTAGCTGCCTCACACAGAGTTTTTGATCCTATGGGGATAACTAGCTCGGTATCGCTACGACTAAATTATGGTTACAAAATTTGTGGAAAGCTAAAATTGGTTGGGACGATGAAGTTGACACAAAAACACAAGAACACAAGAAGATTTTTCAAAGTGGGTAAATCAGCTTGAATATCTGAAGCACATAGAAATCCCAAGGTGGTTGCATTGTGACAAAGGTTACGAGCATATTTCATTACATTTCCTTTGTGATGCCAGTAAATTTGCGTATTCCACAGTAGTTTTCCTGAGAATAGAAGATGAAAGCAATGTTCAAGTTCACCTGTTACAAAGTAAAGCAAGAATCACACCTAGCGGGGAAAAGGAAACAACGATTCGACTTGAACTTCTTGGTGCCACAATTGCAGCTCGTCTATCTATTGAAATAGTAAAACAGTTTCAGGCGGACAAAGTTCATTTCTGGACAGACTCAACAACTGTAGTAGCTTGGCTTAAAAGAGAAGATACATGGGGTGTATTTGTGGAAAATCGAATTCAAGAAATCAGGAAATGGACTCCGGTAAAAGCATGGAGGCATTTGCCCGGATCTATGAATCCCGCAGACTTACCAAGTAGAGGTTGCTCTGCTCAACAACTTGGCAATTCGAAATGGTGGGAGGGTCCCAGCTGGCTATATCTTTCTCACGCGGAATGGCCTGTAGCAGCTGACGAAATTTCCGGTAATGAAGAGGTAACGGAAATATGGTGTAATTACTTTTCAACATATAGAAGAAATGTAAGAGTAGTCGCTTGGATCCTACGTTTTGTCCACAACGTTTCACATCAAGATAAGTTAAAGGGAAATTTAATCTATGAGGAGTTAACAAAGGCAGAAAGTGTGATTTTTAAGTCAATGCAAACAACGCATTTCCAAGATGATAAATTTCTCGCCAAAATACAAGCTTTTCAAGATAAAAGTGATATTCTGAGAGTAAAGACCAAACTGGTACATAGTGATGAGAATGAGAATTTCAGATGTCCAATTCTTTTACCTGCTAACAGTGTTGTGTTAGAATTAATCCGTGAAGAGCATATAAAAGCGATGCATGCAGGTCATTCCATTTTACTCTCAAGACTCAGAGAGCAATACTGGATTCTTAAAGCTAAAAAGTTAATAAATAAAGTAATTTTCAGGTGTGTGACTTGTAAACGTCATCGAGCTAAACCAGTAAAAGTTTCTTTTGCGCCCCTTCCAAGAGAAAGAGTTACTCAGACAAAAGTTTTTCAAGTGTCTGGTGTGGACTATGCCGGTCCTCTGTATCTAAAATTGAAAGAAAAAGCTTGGATCGTTTTGTTTACCTGTGCTGTGTACCGAGCAGTTCACTTTGAATTAGTATGGTCTCTCACTACAGATGCTTTCATTCAAGCACTCCGCGATTTATCGCAAGAAGAAGTAGAATATTGGTAATTTACTCAGATAATGGAAAGAACTTTGTAGGAGCAAACAATTATTTAAAGAATTTAGATTGGGACAAGATTGCTGTGTACTCAACTGCTCAGAAAATAATTTGGAAATTTATTCCACCCACAGCAGCATGGTGGGGTGGGTGGTGGGAGCGGATAGTTGGAATGCTTAAGACTCTTCTGTGTCGTGTGTTAGGTAAATCTGTTGCAGATTATGAAGAACTAACTACAATTTTATGCGACTGTGAATTGGTTATAAATAGCAGACTGTTGACCTACATTCACAATGATCCATCTGAATTAGTACCTTTAACTCCGGCAACGTTTATATACGTGGAAGACAGCAACGAAACTCCCGATCTAGACCTTGTGAATCGAACCTCTATGCTGAAACATGTAAAATTTTGGCAAAAATTACGTGAAGATCTCAAACAAAGATTTAGAAATGAGTATCTTGCTCAGCTAACGCACAAGGGAATAAGAAGGAATGATGTAATAAACATCAGTGATATTGTTTTAATAGGACAAGATAATGCTAGACACATAGATTGGCCTCTTGGAATTGTCTTGGAGCTGTATCCTGGAAAGGACAGTATTCCTAGAGTAGCCAGATTAAGAACCTCCCAAGGAGAAAGGATCCGACTTTTCCAAAGACTTTTTTGATGCTAAATTATTAGTTATTAAAAGATTAAAGTTTTACATTTGTTGTCATTCATCTGTAGAACTTGTAGTTCATTTGATTGATTTCATTTTAAAGGCGTCCGCATTATTTATTTCAACTTATTAACGACAGCACCAATGACCCGGAGGGCTATGCTGGCAGTAGTTTATTACTGGTAGGGTCTCCCAAGCTGGACAGGCCGAAGGGTAGGTGCCAGACTAAAAAGAACACACCAGAAGCCAAGACAGTCTTCTACCTCACGGTGTTCCGGTCTTTGGACAACAGAAGCTGCATACCCCCTCCCATGAATCAGTCGAATGAAAGTAGGAGAAAAAAAATCATTGAATTACATTTATTTTGCTAGATACCAAATTCTTCTTCTGGAAGTTTTTTTTTCATATTTTAATTGTGGAAGGTGCAATTCAGAGATAAATTCCTATAAAAACTGCCACACAGAAAGTAAAATGTTTCACATATTTTTTTCTAACTCTGTCCGCTAAACCACAACAAACGCAAACCATATTTTAGTTTCTGTAAGAAATAAACTATAAGAATGATTTTTTTTTTATTTTTAAAAACAGACCATTTGTATTTTACATTACAAGCAAATTGTTATAGCTGCCAACTTTTCTGTTCCAGAGAACAATATTTTTTACACTTATTAAAACTTATTCATAAATAACTGTAGGGAAAATATTGGGTTTAAGATAGAAAAGAATACAATGATAAACTTACAGCCGTAGATTTGTCAGCGTCAAAGGTGGCCATTTCAGATTCAGGCTTAAAATCAGTCTTTTTTTGTTCTGTTTGTAGAAGAAATCTAACCCATCCCAAAATAGAGGCTATGCATCTACTCAAAGAAAAAAAAATGATTTAAGCCATCTAAAATACAAATATAAAGGAAATTTAGATATATTTATTAACTGATAAGGAGTAGTATAAAAGTAAATGACTCCAGCAACAGGCAGTTGTCTGTCAAGGGGAGGGTGACAACGTGGTCAGCATGGGGCTTCAGCTGCATGCACTTCCCAGATAGCTTGGTATCTATCCATTTAAAGTTAGTTGGGTTTTACGCCGCAAACTTGGATCAAACCCGACTTTTATATAACAGCTCAGTACCTAAACCACTGTGCCATTATTGTGGCTTAGTTCAACTCCTTTAGCTACATTACAAAAACAAGAAGTGAAAACCCTATTATTCAAGTGTCATTAATATGAAATTAGTAAGCAAGCACAAAATTCCATTATTTTATTGAGCGTTTGGGTGGGCGTTGAACAGTCCACCCAATTTTGAGTTTAGGACAATCAAAGTTCAACTGCTTCATACCCTTGTATTTTTGAACCCAGCCCAGAAGACAAGGAAACTCTTGGATCAAGCATTGGAGAAAAGTAGTCTTCATGGAGAACTTTTTTGAAGAACTCTCCTGAAATTGCATCACGTGGAGAGTAAAACAGCAAACGCCTCCCATGATTATCCCTGCAGCTAGGGATTCTAACCCATGATCCACTTACCACTGAGGATATTTTAGGTCAGAGTTGTAGTAGGTGCGAGACAGGAGCAGAATTTGTATTGAGCTGATATTACTGGGATTAAAAGTTGGGTCACTTTATTGTAGGGGTGCACAACCTTTTTGAGTGAAGGGCTACATACAGGGCAGATTGATCAATGAAGGGCCGCACGCGAAAGTATTTAGACAGACATATTTAAAGAAATTGTAGGTAGTAATTGTTATCTAAAAACAGAATCCGAAAATCAAAATCAATTCATCAGAAAAAAATTCGATAAATTGAAATAATTAAAAAAAAACTATGGGAATTTTTTTTTAAAATCATATTACACAATACAAAAGTCCATTTAAATATAAATTTTAAAATTAAAAAATTTGTTCATAGAATTAAATTTAAAAAAAAAACATTAGTTATTAAAATAAATGCAAGTTAAATATTTTGATTTAAAGAAAGTTTATAGGGTTAAAAATGATTAAAATTAAAACAAAACCTCTTCAGTGGAAAATAAGATTTAGCATTTAGTAGGAAATATACTTAAACTTTAAAACATTTATTTTAAAATAATTATAAGAGGCAGGGGCTGAGAGAGGGAAGAAAAAAAGCATTAATTTTGAGGGAACTATTTTCCTTAATAATAAAAAAATATTAATAAGATACTTGTTTACAACTTTTAATGATGAATATTTTTTAACATGACACTTACTATATACAATTAATACACATATATATTAACAATTAATAAAATTTACATTACTTCACAAAACTTATCTTGATTACAGTTTTTACAAATAAAATTTAATGATATACAAATCATTTCTCAGCATATAATCATAAATGATATAAAATTATCCAAATAAGAAGAAAATGGGTTAAAAAATTGTCATCCTACAATTTGCAAAATTTTAAAATATTGTGATAATTTTATCTATTGGATCATGTGATAATTTTATCTATTGGATGGCTCGATAAAAGCTTTATCGAGCCATTAAATGAAAATTTAATGATTTTGTTTAAGGACTGCTCTGGAATTTTGAACAGACAAATATTCATTCTGGAAAACAATCTTTCGACAGAAGCTGTTCATGATGGAAGTATTAAACTTAGCGCAAATAACTTAATCAGTTTTGGAATTTGTCCTAGATGGTGTTCTTCCCTTCCAGATTTTTAAATCGCATAAATACAAATATCAATTTGTTATTTTTGAATTGCTTGAATACGAATTTGTGTGATTTTTAAATTGCGTAATTAAAAAACGGGATGTGTGGTTTTACAATCGCGTGAATACGAATCGCGACGGATGATTTTTAAATATCGTTAATGTTAATGCAAATTGTGATGCACAATTTTTAAGATCTTGTAAATACGAATTGCGATGCGTGACTTTAAAATAACGAGGCGAATAAAAACTTTAAATTTTAAAAACGAATCGCGACATGAGATTTTTAAATCAATAGACAACAAAAAGAATAGGTTGGGTATGTGTTGTGAAACTTGCACGTGCTCATGGGACTAAAGAAATATGCACATGTTTTGAATTATTTTTTTGCAAAAGGGACTGCGTTTAACATAAATGTACACATCTCTTTTTTTTCTCTTCAAGAAGGTGTCGATTTTGCTAAGATACGTAATTACTTTTTAAATTACAAAAAAAATTTCAAATCAGAATCGAATTTCACGAGTTGTAATATTGTGTTAAAATATCAAAATATTCTAAATCACAAATAAAAATGCAGCCATAATGGAAAAAAAAACTTTTCGAAAAACCTCTTATATTGTTAAAATCGGCACAAATAGAGCACTTAAAATGTAATTATTTCAATGTGCAATTCAAAACTCGAGTGCTGCCAAATTACAGTATTAAAAATATCAGAATTGTTTTAAACTACGGAAAAAAGCATAATAATAACTACAAAAAGTATAATCAAAAGAATTTATAATTACGATGAGATTGGCGCAAATAAAGCGCTTCAAAATTTTACGTATTTAAATGCGGGATTTGAAATTAAAATGTTGCAATAGTGTATAAAAAATATCAGGACTTCCAAGACCTTGTATAGCGATAATTGCCAAAATAACGATTGGAAAATAATTTGATTTGCAATAAAATTGGTACAAATAAACCACGTTAAAGAATGGTAACCTTATTGAGTGATTCTTTACTCGTGATTTGTAAGAATATCGTGCTGAAATATCGAAAATTTAAAAACCACGCGGAAATGCGCAGTTACAGCTGCCGGAAAAAGGATCGCAAGTCATTTAGATTTTTCATGAAGTTTGCACAAATAAAGCGTTTCATAAATTTCTAAAATTCGTATATCGTAATAACGATGTATTAAAAATATTGGGGTTTTCAAAACTATGCCTAAATCCGTAGCGTTAACCATCGAAAAACTAAAATGCGTAACTTTCAAATTTCTGAAATTTTTTTTATAATTTTATTTTCTTCTCATTTTGTTCAGATTGCAGCCACGGGCCACGCATCGAAGGTTGGCGGGCCGCAGGTTGTGCATCCCTACCTTATTGGGAGGAAAGCGCTCTAAACTCTGATCCACTAAGGCTTCCACAACAACCCACGACATTTAAGATTCTACAGTTGTGTGACCTACAGCATAATGATAGCAATGTGGCCAATTTTGCACATCCCTTTCCTTTTATTTATCTGACAAGGTGGTACTCATCTTCTTCAGTGGCAATCAAGCCCCACTTTTTAACAATGGCAGTTCAGTGCCTTAACCACTCAGCTATTGCAGTTCATCTGAAAATAGATTTATTCCAAAAACCATCTTTTACATTTAAATTAAATAAATATTTTTAAATGATAAAATAAGGCTGCAAGAGCTCAAAATATTGAGGTCAAAAAACTAAATAAGCACACACACTTATATGAAATTTTTTCATTGAATAATTACGCTTTAAAGCACACAATATTTGTAACAAACGTATTTAGTGTTCTGTTTTTCTATTACCTTTCCAATCCTGTGTGAAGTTTAATTTCCATTTCTTCAATGGTTTTCTTCTTTTTTTGCAAGCAATCCCCATGTTTCGGTGTAGATCTAAATAAATAAAAGAAAAATAAGGGAAACTTTAATATTAAGTAATGATAGAATTTTCTGAAAACTTATAATTTTATAATGGCATTTATTATCAATAAATATAACTTCTTGTAACTTTGCCTTAAAACTTTTAAAAAAAATCATATTCTTCTCATTAATCTAAGAAATATTTAAATTTTTAGCATTTGTAGACAAAAACAGCAACATATACAGAAAATAAATCAAGAGCTTAAAAACTCTCAAATTTAACTCTTAGATGAAAGTAAAATTTATAACTTACAATTATTCAAATAATACAAATATTATTGCCAAAAATTGAGAATTTAATTCAATTAAAAATTTATTCAATGCCATTTTGTTAAGGACTCAGGTGAACTCTAAAAGTATACGACACCATTAGAAAACTTGATTCTTATAGAAAATAATCAAACTATTAGATTTTATGGTGAAATTTGTGTGAAATCAATTTCTTGATTGTAGTTTGTATCATAAAAATCTAGTCAAATTTTTTTCATAAAAATTGAAATAATGACAGCCATTTTAAGTAAAAGTTGCAGGGTAATTCCAAAGTATAAAGCATTAGTTGCAAAAATATAAATATATTGTTTAAAATAGCTCAATTTCTAACCCTTATAGAAGATATTGGTATCCTATATACCAGTGGTGCGCAAACTAGGGGTCGCGACCCCTGTGGGGGTCGCCAGAAGTTTTTTGGGGGTCGCCAAATTTTTATGAAATGCATTATCCCTGCATGCTGCATACCATACAGTGTACATATAAAGAGTGAAGCGCCATCACTCACTGTTTAATTGCAATTGGATTTCCGAAATGTCACGAAATATCGAGTCAGAAGTCATAAAACGCATACAAAATTCATCTGTATTTGCTTTACAACTGGACGAGACTACCGATATTACTAAAATGTCACAACTAATTATTTACGTTAGGTTTATTTTTAATGAAGATATAACAGAAACGTTTTTATGTTGCAAAAATTTGGAAGGAAAAACAACTGGAGAAAAAATATTCGAAGTAATAAATGAATATTTTGAAACAAAGTCCCTTACCTGGGCAAACTGTGTTGCGGTTTGTACTGATGGTGCTGCAGCATTAACAGGTTCGAATAAAGGGCTCAGAGGCTTAATTCAGAAGGTGGCACCTCATATGGTATTTAATCACTGTATGATTCATCGGAAAGCTCTTGTTGCAAAAGATATGGATGAAGAGTTGCACAACGTATTACAAGACGCTGTTAGTTCAATTAACTACATTAAATGCAACAGCCACAACAGCCGTCTCTTTTCAATACTTTGCAATGAGATGGGCTCAACGTATGAGAAATTACTGTTACACATCGAAGTCAGATGGCTTTCACGTGGGAAAATACTACGACGGATATTTGATTTGAGAAATGAAGTGTACATGTTCTAAATCGAAAAGAAACATAGATTGGCAAGTTATTATATCAATGAAGTTTGGCTAGGGAAGCTGAGCTATTTAGTTGATATTTTCGAAAAACTTAACGACTTAAATTTGAGCTTGCAGAGTGAGAATTCAACTATCATAACTACAGCCAGTAAAATTCAAGCTTTTAAGAATAAGTTTAGTCTCTGGCAAACTGAACTGAATAAAAACAACACCAACATGTTCCCTTGCTTTAACGATTTTATCAAGGAAAATAATATAGATATATTTACATTTAAAAACATCATTTCCAATCACATTGAAAAGTTAAAGAAAAATTTTTCGAGAAGATTCGAGGATTTTCCTGAAAACGATCTTGGTTGGATTCGTGATCCATTTTCCTTTGACATATGCAGTTCAACGCTTCAAATTAGTGAGAAAGAGCAATTGATAGATCTGATTAGTGATTATACTCTTCGAAATCAATTTAAGACTCAGCCTTGCCAAACATTTTGGCTATCCGTGGAAAAACAATATCCCGTTTTATGCAAGAATGCCATCAGAGTGTTAATACAATTTGCATCAACGTATTTATGTGAAACTGGATTTAGCAAACTAGTTTCAATAAAAACTAAATACCGCTCGCGTTTAAACCCTGAAGATGATATGCGAATTGCAATTAGCAACATACATCCAAACATCGATGAGATAATTAGAAACTTGCAGCCACATACATCTCATTAAAGGGCAATTTACTGATTTTTGTGTTATACAAAAAGTATTTTCTTAAAATTATAAATAAAATTAATATGAGTCAAATATGATGATGTTTTTATTCGATGAAACGAAAGAAATGCGCGAAATATACATCGTATTTGTGAACATTTATCTCTAGGGGTCGCCAAAAATTTTCTCTCTACAAAAGGGGTCGCGGTCGAAAAAAGTTTGCGCACCACTGCTATATACTATTTATCAGATCAGTAAACTATAACTATTCTAAAAGTATGAATTACATTAAGTAACTTCAAAGTCAATAAAATTTCATTTTAGTCTCAGTTTTTATTTTACTCTGCTTTGTAGTGAAGAACTCATTTTTAATATGCTGTCATTTTAACGATTTGTTTTTTCAAAATTTTTATGAACTCAAATCAACTCCTTCATTAATTGTTTTTTTTTACAAATTCAAAAAAGAAGAAGAATTATAAATAAAATTTTGATGAAAATACTCTTGGTTGGTCAATATGCTACTCGATTCGTCAAAGGTTTAAGATTGCAACCCATACTTAAATCTGACTCTGTTGAGCGATTTGATAAAATAAAATTCAATCTAATTATACTCACATAACTAAAGGTATAATTGTATCACCAAATTGCTTCTCAAATAGATGATATATAGCATTGCATTGTCGAATCACATCAAAAAAATATATTTCAGGTGAACTTTTAGGTTCAGACAAAGGTATAGCTGCAATAAATCATATTACAGGCATGTTTATGATAAGGAAATTCTACAAACATAATTCTGTGCAGATGAACTGTTAACTGGCTTTGATATGACTTAGTATTGTTTCAATATATTTTTACTTACACAGATCATATATATATAACAAACAATTATTCCAAAGGAAAATCTTCTTTAATAATTTAATAAATAGAATTTCACTTTACAAACTACTTAATTCAATGCATTGACAAGACAATTTGAAATTTTGTCCCCATCTTACATTGTAAAATATTCTGGTAAAAATATTTTTGTTCAGTTATAAAATTACAGACACTCTCTAAACTAGTACACAAACCCCTCAAAATAATTCATAACTTCTATAAGTAATACTTCCAAGTAAATGTCAGTGCAAATTCAAAATGAGAAAAAATAAACTATATCAATAATTTGGTTATTACAGCTAATACATACATTACAGAATTTATAGTTAAACTGAAATTGCTAAGTAGACAAAAGTAAAATTTCGAAAATTAATAGGAACTGAATCCTGGATCTCAAATATAAAAAGTATATATGCAGAGCCTTTTTTCTCCATTATCTCTCAGCTCTGTCACAAGTCCGTGAAAATTCATAAACTACAAGCAAAAATTCAGACCATGACCCTTGTTGGGTTTTTAAAAACACTCCGAACTGATCTGAGTTGCATTTTTAAACAGTATGGTATTAGTGTTCCTAATAAATTTGAAATACAGGTACAAGAAAAATACGACCAAACCTAAGATTTTTAGACTGCCTTGAAAAGGACCTACAAGTTTTAAAGATAATAAACTGGAGAACCTTGGCTAAGGGAAGAATGTCTTGGCATAGGCTTGTTGAGAAGGCCAGGGCCCATCCTGGGCTGTTGTGCCAATGAGAATAATAATAAATTTGAAATATTAAAAATTGTTTGTAATTATATTTTACAACTACGTTTTTAAATTTTCTTTGAATTTATGATGAAATTGAGCTTGTCAAATAAGGTACTCATACGCATGATTCGAAAATCTAGTATATTCTATTAAAACATCAATATTTTAAAAATCATGCAGAAATGAGTTATAATAACAGTAAAAACACGAAAGGCAAAACTACGCAACTTTACGATTTCATCGTAGCAAATCGAGCGTATATAAAAAAAATTACTCTATATTTGCAGAGTCGTGACAATGCATTAAAATATCGAAATTTTAAAAACCAGCAACTGCGAAAAAGAAGAGAAGATTTCCTTATAATTTCAGGATTGTAGCTTCGACTTCTCTATTAACTAAAGTAAAATACCTGAAATCCGGAATTTTCCGATATCTGAGCTTTTCAGAGCAGTGCGGATATTTTAGGTGATACTCTACTTTATAACATTTAAGCTCTAAAACCTATAGTAAATTTTTAAATTATTCAGGGTGGTCACTCAAATCAGATTTTCATGATTTTTCCAGTAAAATTCTAAAGATTTTTCCAGGTCACCCTCTCATAAAGTGTAATGTTATTTTTTTGATATATCATCTTGAATAGATGTGGAGAAAATATGTTCAGCTTGCAGAATATATTGCTTTAAATGAATAAAAAATGTTTTAAAGTGTCAAGCAGATCTTGCACAAAATGTACCAAATAGCAAATACAGAGTGACTCAAAAAAACCTAGGATAATATATTTTACAGTTTAATATAATTTCGGTTTAACATATTTTCATTTAATTCAATATATTTTCCTTCAATTCATATTTACTGTGTAATATCTTTTCATTCAACAAAAGAAAATAATTCCAGGTGATTACACATCAATAAATTTTTACATTTATTTACATTTCAGTATGGAGCCCTTTTATACTGTATTTAATCCAAATGGTGCTCTTTATACGATTCATTGATATAATTTTCATTAAGCCAAAAAATCAAATGTTTAAATAATGTTGTTTGTTTTGAACTAGCACTATTAAGAGATATCCAGTATTTGCAAAGGTAAAATTGTCAAATTTTTTGTTGCATATTCTATTGAAAAAAATTGCTACTGTACATTTTTACTGTATTATTAGCCTATAAAAAATTTATCTGGGAAAAAAGATCGTGCAGGAAAAAATGAGTATTTGATAGCTTTATTTATTGCCTGCATAAAATTAAATAATTGTTTTGTACAGTTTTTACTTACTATCTTTTGTATTTGATGTTTCAAAGCAGACAATATTAACCGATATATCTTTTACTTGTATTTAGTGGCATAGCTGGCGGTGAGCAAGAAAAAGCATGCTCCCGGTTGTAACATTAGAGATGAGCCAAATTCATGGGAAAAAATTTAAGTTATTCTACCTTTTTAATACCCCCTCTCCAGTTTCATTTGCCAATTACAGGCCCAATAACCACTAACAATTTTTATACTATTTATTCAAAATTTTAATAGGGTGTGTGTTATTGCTGTAGTTTGCTATGCAGGTAAGTTTACTTTTTTTAAAAAAGAATTTTTTTCTTAAAAATAAATAAATAACTACAGAATGTTCGGAGAATTTCTTTTTTTCCCCCCTCTAAAAGCATACATTTTTAAAGCTGCAAGCAAAATGATTGATTTAAAATCCTCTAAATAAAGTTAAAATTGTTTCTCAAAAAATTAAAACTGAGTTGCTTACCTCAAATAAATAAATAAAATTAAATTAAAAAATATATGTATGTAAACTTCATTGATTAATTTTAAGTTATAACATAAAAAACTTTAAGAACAGCATAGTTAAACAAATTTTATTAGGTCACTGAGGTGAAAAACATTATTGTAAATTAACCTAAAAGATTATTTAGATGGTTTCTGTTCATATTTTACTTTATTTAATAAAGAAAAAACGAAATAAGAGATGGAAATAAATAAAAACAAATGTAATGAAAAGAAAAGCAGTGGTGACTGACGTAAAAATAATTAATGATTATTTTACAATAAAAATATTTATTATTACCAAAATCTTGCTTTAAACAAAAATAATAATTTAATTATGTTAAATCCCAGCAGCACAGTACAATTAATTATGTATTTTGGTGTCGCATGTAAATTATCAAAAGTGTATCATGATAATTTTTTTATAAATTAAAATGCGAAATGTTTCTACATATTTGTGCAAGATAATCTGTTTTATTACAGTTCTCTTTAATTATTATCTTTTTTATTATTAGTGAGAATTTTTAAAAAAAAAACTGTACTTTGTTAGAGATTCACTTACCACGGTTAAAAATTTCAAAAGATGTAGCCCTTCATTTAACAGCCTATAACTTACTGAAAACTGATATCTGTAAGTTAAAAGTCATTATTTCTAAATCTTAAATTTTTTACCTTGGAAATGATACCTTGTTTACTTAATATTAACAAAATAGTAAAATATAATATGTTATAAAAAGTTAAAATAAAATATAGAAAATTAGCATCAATGCAACAATTTTGCTGTTAGCGATTGATGAAAATGAGTGATTGGTTGGTATTGCTGATAAAAAATTCATTGGATGGGAGTACAAAAGCTTCCAGAAAAAGAGTGTAAGATAGAATCAATTAATAAATTATTATTTGGAGAATTTTATAAAGTTAAAAATACTAAAACATTTTGAATAATTTTGCTAGAATAAAAAAATACCCCCAAAGCATTGGAACAAACTTGAACAGTAAATAAATTCAGCCCAGACTAGAAGATTTAAAAAAAATAAAAATAATAATAAATAAATAAACAACTTTTATCAACAGAAGCAAATATTCTAACCCGTTCTTCCACCACCACCACAGTTTTTGCCTTTCTTAACTGACAAAGGCCCATAATCTCCAAAGAGGTTAAAGATTTCTCCATTCATTTAGCAACATGGGAGAGTTTCATATGGCATTATAGTTTAGCAGGGTAATAATGGAGAGAATTTTAATGCAAGCAAAGTATTGCTAAGTTGATGATAAGTACTGTCTAAATAAAGTGGATAAAACGAATGGTAAAATAATTTAAATAAAGAAAAAAAATTCCAGCTTTTCTTTAAAATTCCCTGATTTTGCCAGGTTTTTTATCCAAATTTTCCTGACTTTTCCACTATAAAAAAATTCCCTGATAATTCCAGGTTTTTCAGGTGGGTGGCTACTCTGTTATTAGTCCCTTATATTAGAAATAAAAAAATAGTTTGCTTATGAAAAATAACATGATTCTAAAATTAAAAATAATTTACATTTTAAAATTTCTATGTGATTGGAACAAGTATTAATGTAGCGAGTTAAATGAATTGAAAATACCTAATAAGCCAAGTTCCAAAGCATAGGAGACATGTTCTTGAAATAAATAATGTAACATAACATCAAATAACAACACAGCATTTCCAGGCAGTTCAGACTGTTGCTTTGACAGCTAAAAATGTAAAGAGCGTCTTGAAAAACATTTAATATGAGTAAAATGATAAAAGAATAATGATATGAGGAACCCATAAGATTGTAACTAATTAAACTTATTACTTATATTTTTATTTAAAACTTATTCAAGGTTATCAAAGTTAAGACAAAATTTTTTTTTCAATAACAAATTCACAACCATCATTAGAGAGAAAGCCCAACAAGAATGAAAAATTAGTTGAAAAAAAGTCAAAATGTAATTTAAAATTTTTTAAAAAAAACTGTATTTAAATTAACAAATAACATTTCTAACGTTAAAAATATACAGAGATCAAAATAATTAAGTAAAGAATTACAAAATAATTTAAGCACAGAGAGATATTTGAAAAATCCAAACATACAAAAATAAAACTTCACAAAATATCCAAAATTACATTCCCAAAAATGAAAAGTAAAGAAAATAGCGCATTTCTAGTTAATAAACATTCAAGACTTTTTTTTAAATAAGCAACTGCGCTTATTTTCCATTCAACTAAAGTAATCGTTCTACATAGAAACAAACCATGTAAAAATATTATCGATACCATGTATGGATGTACATTTAAAAAAAATTAGAAAACTTTTTATTTCTCAAGAACTATTTGGCAAATTATGTTATTTTTTTTATATGATATTATCTTTGAATAAACTTGTTTCTTAACACAGGCTTCATAGTGGAATAATGAAAAATTCAGGACATTATTTGGAATGGTCGGTATACACTAAATTACTAAAAAAGGTACAGATTAACTTAAGAATAATACCGATCAATTTTATCGCAAAATGTTAATAAATAGCATTTTTAATTTCAAAATTACTCAATTTAAAAAAGAAAGTTTCAGCAGTTTTCAGTATAATTTTATTACTGGAGCACTTTATTGGATACAAAATTACTAAAAAAAGTATAGATTAACTTAAAAATAATACAGATCAATTTTATCGCAAAACATTAATAAATAGCATCTTTAATTTCAAAATTACTCTATTTAAAAAAGAAAGTTTCAACAGCTTTCAGTACAATTTTATTATTGGAACACTGAACAACTCATAACTGATCAACTCATAACAATAAAATATAGACAGAAAATTTTAATATTACTGCTGCATTAAAAAAAAATCAATATCGATTAGTACTATTCTCTCATAGAATCCTTGAAATTTGTAATGAAGTTCAAAACTTCCTTGCCACTGAGAATTTTTATGAAAAAAAAAATCTAGTGGATGATCTCTCAATTTACTATTTAAAAATTCCATAATATGATTACAGTTTGCTGATTAGAATTTATAATTCAAAGAATCAGATTAAAGAGATGAATTGAAAGTACAAAACTATACAATTTATTACTGCATTTCTTAAAAATAATAAATAAGCATATAACCTCTGAAGCACTAAAACTTGATAATAGTAAACTATGCTTTCTATTTCATAAAATGACTAATACCAAAAAATTTGAAAGGATGAATCCTGCAGGTGATACTATTTGTCTAAATAATCTATAAAATTAGTGAACAGTTTTATCTGAGTAATCTATATAATTAAAGGTTCAAATTTTAGGTATTTTCCTAGCATTATTAATTAAAATAAAAAGATCCAAATCTTTCAATTCTCCAAATCAATTATTCTCGCATTTGTATTCTTACAAAATGGTATGTACATAGATAAATCAGGAATATTAGGACAAAAAGCTAAAAATCAAGGACCAAAATATTTTCTTTCAAGAATGTCAGGATCAAGAACCCTGCTTGTGTACGTAAAATTGATTCCATTTCACTCATTAAATGCAGAGGTAAGAACATAAAATTTTGCTGGTTGTACCAAAAAAATAGAGAAATTTAACAGAAGACAAGAGTGAATTGAAACAATTTTTTTCAATCAATAACTGGAAGTCGATTGCTGCATGCAATATGCATAAAAAAATGCTTGGAATAAGAGAAAGTGAAATGAACATCTTCTTGTTGTAATGCTGTTGACTAGATAGAGGCACATAAATGTTCCGCCAAAGAAAGAAGCTACAGATATTTGATTGCTAGAAGAAGAAATTATTTGAAATTATTTTTCTTCATGCATCATTTCTTTTAGTACTTAATATTTTTTAGATATAGGAGATAAATAAAATTTTTATGTTACAAAAGTTACATTTATAAAATTTAAAGAAAGAAAGAAAACTTTTTTATCTCAACGCATAAAAGAATATTTATATATATATATGTGTTAAAAAAAATACACATTCACCCTTTTTTGCAATTTGTGACTTGTCATTGCATAAAAAACGTGAAATCCGAGTCAATAAATGAAAAAGATGGACGATGCATTTAAGATGAAATCACAACAATCAGACGCGCAAAAGAGGGTTCATTAAATTTATATATCAAGATTCATGTGGTGTAACAAATAACTATAAAAAATATGCGAAAATCAATAGTGTCGAAAAATTTATGAAAAAAACGATATAATTATCATGTCAAATAATGAATACTCATCTGAATTTCCTCTATTATAATAATATCAAGAATTTTAATAATGTGAAAATCTACAGAACTGCTAAAAAAGCATCGAAACACCGATTAACAATGGTACTGACCTAAATTAGAGAGCATCAAAAAGGGATTACTCAAATGAGTGATTCAAATTTTGCATGTCAATTTTGTGTAATAATATCAGAATTTTAAAAACCACGAGAGAATCAATTGCAAAAGGGAAAGATGGTATAGAGCATGTTGAAAAGTGATTATAGAAACGTGGAAATTTCCATGTCTTAATATCATATTAAAAATTAATTCAATCTAATTGTCGCAAAATTAAAAAGGGGACAAATATAAATTATTCTTCTGTTACTATTTGCAATAAAATTATGGTTTATTATCGAAAGTAAAAAATTTTAAATCAGCGGAACTCCGAAAATTTTGACGGAATATAAATTATTGATTCAAATCAATGGTCTTCCGAATTCTTTGAACTAGTGGAAAAATCACATGCCTGAAACTACTTCAAGTTTCTTTATTGTTTTTCACTCTAGATTCTTAAATTAAAAATACAGTTAAGATTATTTTAGTCTTGTAACTTTAATTCTTAATTGAATACTTAAAGTTGTAGTTTCTGATAATTCTTTTTAATCAACTTGAACTAGCAAAGATCTTGACAGAGCTAGACCGTATCTGATGGGGTTTCTTAGATTCAGTAAAAATACATTGTAAATGTTTATGAATACACTGTAAATATTTCTGAATTTTTATTCAGTTAACTTTCAAAAACATTTAAGAAACAAGTTTAAAAGAAATTTAATTCTTGTACATTTGGCAATAGAGCCGCAATGCTAAGCTAAATAGATTCTTTCGTTCAACAGCCAAAAGCAGTTATACTGTGTAACCTCTAAAAGTTTTTTTTTTACTCATTGTAAAAAAAAAAATACTGACGTTTATAAACTAAGTTTTATGTTAAAAAGATTATTTTATACAAAGTTACAAAAACTGTTTCCTTTGTAGGCAAAATTGAATCACAAGATCATACAGATTTCATAGTTACATGAAAAGAAAAATTTTATTTCCTAGAAAAATCAAATACTAATTTCAAAAATACTGTCAGAAAATTAATATAATCAATCAGAAATGGAGGAGTTACAAAAGTGTGCACTAGTTTAAATGATTTTAAATTACGTCAAATTAAATAATATTCTCATGTCTTTAATATTTGTATAACAACTCTCCTCTGAGTAACTAATGAATCGAAATGACTGGCCCACATAATGTTGTGTAGCTAATTACTATTATTGGGATGCCACTATATTTATTTATTTTATTATAAGAAGAATAAGGACTTACCAATTGACATCGATTAAAAGCCTTTTTACAATCCTGTAATATATTCATAGCTATTTCCTCAGACAAAAAAGTTTCCCCTCCATAGTTATCCACAGCTGAGCTCAGAATATTTGTTTTGGAGCCTATCTTTGCTTGAATATCTCGACGTAGATCATGAATACTAAAGTAAGAAGATGAAATAATTATTCTTTATTTGGGTTATGATTTAAAACAGAAATGAAGAGAGACTCACCCTCCAAAATGGATTTGTTTCTTCTGATGATTCTTTGAATTATAGTAAATATTTAATGCACTTTCACACTTATCTTTCAAACATCGCACTTCTATAGTGATATAATTTTCTAAGTATCTGGCAAAGATATTTTTGGTTAACTTGCCCAGAAAAGATGGATCACAGCCTATTTTAAGATTTGTTAATTCATTGGTTAATTTTGTAGTCCTAAAAGAATGAATATATAACAATCCTTAGAAAATTTCACGTAAAAATAATCACCATTAAAAAATCTGCTGTTAAATTATTTTGAATGCTAAAAGAAAACTTAAGTCAGACAAAAAGAATTGATTACTACATCATAAATTTAAGATAAAGTTTTTTTGAAATGTAATGAATGACATATGCATTACAAAAAAATATTTTCACAACATATATGAATGATAAAAAAAATCAAATTATCTGGTTAAAAAAAATAGCTATACAGATAGAGTAATTTTTAAATAAATATAAAAAAAAAAAACAATTAGAATCAGAATATATCCAACAGTATGAGAGACATAATAACATGAAGCAAATTTAAATGATGCATGGCTTATGGATAGATCACTTTAATTTAGAAATCCGCATATAAGCTGACATAAAAAAATAAGGTTCACTACACTTGGAAAAAAAATATTCTTATAGCAATATGGTAGGTCGATCTAGTAACAGTTGCACAGTGAGTATAAGAAACATCGACCTGCCTCACATTAACATATCTCACAATAACATAATTAATATATTTAAAAAAAATAATTGTATTCCTTTCAAATTGCTCATTTTGTGTCTTTCTTTTTCTTCTTTTTTTTAATTATTAATTTTTGCCTGTACCGATGATAGTGTTAAATTATACCAGATTTTACATTTCCCCTAAGAAAATCCCTCTTTGTTTGTTTCTCTAACAGATCAATATTTTTCTCTATTAAGTTTTCTTTTTCTGAAAACCCCTTGCAATTAATGCAAAGGGGTGGCAACTCACAGAAAGTGTCACACTGGTAGAGTAGCGAGCACATTGATGTTTGCAAATGTCCAAACCTTTGACACTGAAAGCATCTCAAAGGGTTTCTAAGATAGGGTCGGACAAGACAGTTCATCAGAGCGACAGCAGAGAGGGTAAGTGTTAGAATAAGGAATGAGTATGAAACCTTCGTACAGCTTTGAATCGTTAACACCCTATCCTGAAAGTACTGTGTGGAACAACAGTCAGAGTGAATGCTTATTTGCAAAGATGACACCTGAACTAAGGGGCGACAATTACAATAATCTATTACTTGAAATCATGATTACAAACATTCATAATTTTGATTACAACTGTAATCATGATTGCATAAACAATTACGGTAATAAATTGTTTGTAATTGTGATTACAAGTAATCAAAATATACGATTATGAGGTGATTGTATTGTATATGGGCATACATAAATGCATACATTTTAGTTACACTCACAAATACATACACTTATATTGTATGTATAACGCATATGTACAAATCTAATATTAATAATATGCACTAGTCAAACCACTTTCATTGCAAATTCAAAATTTTTTCAAAGTGCAAGAATTTTGCTGAGTTGGCGAATTTTTTTAAGCAAGATAAACAGATTTACAGCAAGATTTTTTTGTGCTGTAAATGAATGCGGTAGGAATCGCAAAATAATGGATTTTGTTTCAATTATATCTAAAAAAATTTTAATCATAAATAGCAGAAATCGCAAAAAGAAAATCACACAAAAATCAAAGTCGGGAAAAAATCATAAAAACTAGAGAATACAAATAGCAAAATTGGATTTTTAAATCTTTGAATGCAAATCGTAATGCTTGATATTAAAATCTTGTAAATATTAATTGCACTATTAGCAAATTCCAGCACAGTTTTAAAAGCTAAAAATGGCGAAAATCTGCCAGACCAAAAGAATCTATTGGGCGGAAGTATAACATGTAAGTAAATGTCTTGCTATCGGAATTTAAATTTTATAAAGGGGACTTAGGGGATTATAAGTGTTCAATTTGCGGAAGTCTCGAGATACTCAGTCTTGTGACTCCTAGTTTTTAGGCTTGGAATTCTGGGATAAAAAGACCACTGGATTATAAATAAATAATTGAATATGTACTAACCTAAGGAAGAATGCACTCACCTAAAATAGAGTCTTTCAAACTTTTCAAGATACTTTTCAGGGTTACCACAATCCATCAATTCTGCTTTAATATGTGTCTAAAAGAAGAGTACACAAGATAAAATCATTTTTCAAATTATCATTCACTCTATTTTGTAGAAAAAAGGTTGCTCTGATAATTTAGGGACTAAAAAACCAAACAGCTGAATGGGTTGCAGAGGATATCCAGCATAACTATCTAAACAGGAAATTTGTATGCATGGACGAAACATTTTTAGAAATTATGACTGTACAACCGAGTATCCTCGTTTTAATTACAAATGTCAGTTTTAAATTCCTTTTGTTTTTAGATAAACAAAGTTTAAAAAGTAAACTATTATTAGAAAACTTTTATGGAATATGTGGTAGGGACGGCTATTCAAGGAAAAATTCCTTAGATGAAATATTCCAACTTTTTTGCCCTTAATACACTGCACACAATATAAAATAAACTAATACACGTTCATTAAAAATGTCAAAATTGTAGCATAAGTTTAAAATTAAGTGACATTTTAAAAATAAAATTTAAGACAGTTTTATTATAATTGTATCAACAGTAGTGTTATAAGCAGAAAAAATTCTTAATATTATGCTAAGGATTATAATTAATATTGATTTTCCCACCAATATTTATCATAGTCTAGATTTAGAGCTGCATTATTAACTTGCATTAGATTACTCATAAGAAAATGATCTTTTCATAATTAAAAAATAAATAATCTAGATTTAGAACTGCATTATTAACTTGCATTAGATTGATTACTCATAAGAAAATGATCTTTTCATAATTAAAAAATAAATAAAATTTAAAGAAAAAAGTTAATCCTCAAATAGTAACAATTAATATTAAGAATTTGAAAATAGAAATAAAATTAATCACAGGTAATAAACTAACTTGTAATTTTCCATGAAAGATATTAAGGATATATTTTGACATAACTTGATCCGGATTGTTGAATACTTCTTTTGTGACAGTAAGAGCTTCTGCACATGAAGGCACAATTCTTGTTAAAATATCTCCAGTAGAGGGAAGGCTCTGGGAAAAAATCATTGTTTACATCAGTATAAAATAATAAATTATAAAGGAGCAGCAGGGAAAAAAAATCAGTACATACCATTTGTCGCTGCTCAATAAAAGCATCCACACATTGTGAATAACCCTAAAAAATAACAAAAATATTTTTAAAAAAAAAAGCCCAAAAGAATGCAGACTAAAGTGAGAAGTGTGAATAAAGCACAAAATAATGAACAGAAATGAAAATATAGTTTTTGTTCTCTAAACTAGAACCTTCTTCTGTGTCTTAACACGCATGAATTTTGTATGAAATTAAAACAATATATATTCTCATATAATCATTTAAAATTAATTTATTTTTGTATATTCTCCTATCCTCTTTTTTCCTTAGTAGATTGAGGGTAAATACTTATTTAATTTAATATGTTCTAAAACTTAAACAAAACGCAGGAAAATACTCAATTAAAATAAAAAATAAAGAAAACACAAAAAATTAAAGATTGCAATTTTTTCCTTGGAAATTCTGCAACATATTTAGTATAATTTTAAAACAATTTCCACAGGTTCAAATATTTATTCTTTAAATCAAAATTTTATTTTGTCTTTTTGCAAATTGTAATTACAGTAAAAGCTCAATGTATCGAGATTCCTATTGCGAGAAGTCCGATATTACGATGCCTTCAAAACATTAATATTTAAGATACAAAAACTCTTTATTTATAACAACATAAAAAATATTAGCTTTCTGCTATAGTTGCAAAAATTCATAGGAGGAAAACGCGTTTTTCTGATATTAAAATTAACAAAGTTTTACAAAACAGGACAACATGAAAGACGGGTTTATTTATGTCTGATAATAATTTCAGGGGTCAGTCTAAGTTTTTCTGAGAGGTACCTATTTCGTGAAAATTAAGACATTTGTGAAAAATTAAAAATTATATTAAAAAATCAACACAAAAATATGGTACAAATATGTATTTATCGTTTCTTATGGGAAACAAAAAAATTTGTGAAGGTACCACTATACGGTAGCATATTTGGCTTGGACAGATCCCTGAATATAAAATGTGAACATCATTTCACCTTATTTTCCTCGTCCAATCATAATGCTTTAAGTTGTTAAAACATATAAATGTGGATAACCACCAGCTACATTATCTTCCTATATAAAAATGGAAAATCTTTTGCTGTTAATCAGCAATATTGACATATACTTCAAAAGGATGTACAGTAGGCAAAAAAAAATAAATGGACCCACCAGAATAACTTTCGATCTTCTATTTTCATGTTCTAGTACTCATTCTTAATGGCTCAAGAGGGTGACGTCAAATATATTAATTAATGCAAATGATGTTTTAAGTTAGAAAGTTAGACACAAAACATACTTTCTCTGATTACACATACCTTTTTTTGGAGCAATCCTTGGAGACAAAAAATAAAATTAGAAGAGATTTTCAAATGTTGGGAAACGGTGGTTTACTAGAAAGATCATAACTAAATTATTAGAATTTTTCAAAATATGACTTGATTCCCAGAAATCAAACTCAGTAAATGAAGAGCAATGCTGAATGATTTTAGCAAAAGAAAACATTGAGTAGATGATATGATTAGAATTCCAACAACGTAGGGGCATGAATGATCCATTAATATCCTGATTTATATTTGACTGATAATGAAAAATGAAATAGGATCACATTTTGAAAATTTGCTGGTATAAATTTCAATAAATATTTAACTACTAATAACATGAATTGAAAAAAAACATTAAACAATAATAAGAAAAACAGAATCTGATTTTTAAAAGAAATTAAAATTTTAGAAACAGAAAATATAAAACAATGAATATTAATAATAACTATTATTGTTAAACGAAAATTTAATTTCAAACCAATAATTCTCAAAAAAAAAAAAAAAAACTTACCTTGAAATTTGATAGTATTGCAGCAACTTCCTTCATTTTGCTTCGTTTATCAGACTGGTGGCATTTCACAAATTCATCAATAAGTTCTCGTTCAATCTCATCATATTTTTTTGCTATTCTCTGGCGTGCCAGTTCAAATTTGGGCCTACAGAGTGAAGTGACATTAATAAAACTAGTCAAAAAAAGATATTTATTACTAAAATAAAATTTAATCACAATAAGATGTGAGCAGGGTTGGCAAGGTTTAGGACAGAATGGATTAATCCACGGTTTAAACCGTCCTGTCCAAAACCCCTTTGTCTTAAACTGTCCAAAACCCTTTAACACAAATTATGTCACAATTTTATCTGAATCTATTTTAAGAGGTAAAATAAACATAGAACTAATAACATATTGATAATTAAATATACCAGAGAATATTTGTTTTTAAAAGTATAATGTTTTATTAATATTGTTTGACTCTTCAATTTAAACAAAGGAAGATTAATCAGTAATCAAGTTCAACTGGTCCTCTCATTCAATAGTACATAACTGAAGTTTGGCCTTGCCATACAGGTTAAAATATTAGGGACTAAGTGCTTGGTTCGTCATAAACAGGTTTATTTATCTATAGTACTATTCAAGAATACTTTTATTTCATTCATGTTCAATTCTTTTAGCAAAGTGGTGATACATCACCAGTGTCAGTAACTGAAACTGAGGTTATGCCCTTCAAAACTGTTAATACATTTTTCAGTTATTTTGTATTTTCAATTTAAACTAATATATTTATATTAAAAAAAAATTTTTTTTAAAAAATAGATGTCTTTTTTGTCATCCTGTGATGCAGAAAGTATAGCATTTTTTTAAAAAAATATTGTGAAAAATAAAAGGTTAATTTTTGAACAAATTTAGTATTTTTTTTAAGAAAAACTATTATTTTTTAATATTGCCATATTTATCCTTATGCAAAAATATTATTTATCAGTATTAAAAGCATATTTATATTTAAAGGATTAGGTATTCANTGTTGTATATTGTGGGTAAGTTTCATAAAATTCCATGTGTAATTTCTTGAGTTATCGCGATTTTTGTGAATTTTCCTTAATTTATGATAACCAGTGTATTATTTTTTAATATTGCCATATTTATCCTTATGCAAAAATATTATTTATCAGTATTAAAAGCATATTTATATTTAAAGGATTGGTTATTCACTTTTGTGTTCAATGAATTGTGGAGCTTCAAAGCTTCAAAAATTATAAACCTTTTCCTATTATATTATATTATTTTCTTTTAATAAGTTATAGTAAATTGTATAAAAAATATCAAATATTTATTGATACATGTAATTATTATGTGTACAATGGTTACACCTATAGAATTTTTACCTTTTACCAAAGTTCAAGGTTTTGGACACTTTAAGACAGTTTAACCCAGTTTAGGACAGTTTTACCCAGTTTAGGACAGTTATAAAGATAACTTACACACATTTTATGTAATAAAACATTGAAAATGAAGAAAAAATAATAGACAATTTATGTCATTCTAAAAGAAACTACAATGGGTGACAAAAACTAAACAAGGACATGAACAGTAACATATAAATTAACTTTACAAATAGGTTTAACACATCACAAGAAAAAGTTCAAATTTTAAAGGAGTGTATGAGACGATTTAAAGATGTCACCTAATTTACTACTTTGTAATAAAACACTATTTATGCAATTTAATTATATGAGCTTGCTGTTTTGCTTCTTTGCATATAAACTTTTCTTCTCAGGATCATTTTTTTTACTAGGCAATAATGAATGAAATGTTACTTAGTAATGTTATGTTTTTTAAGATATATAGACATGAAAGTGCGATTAAAGCTAATTAAGAAACAATGATTTTACATAAATTCAATCAAGTAACAAATTTGGGTTACTTAAAACATTAAAAATACGCTTTAGTATATTTGCATACTTTCCAGGTGGTAATTCTTGTGAAATCAGATGAAGTTTTTGAATGATGTCAGCTGATTCAAAAAGCTAAAAGAAAATTAAACATTATAAATAATAATTTTAATAAACAAACAAGATTAATTTTACCAAAGGTAATATACATATTTAAAGTATTTTAAGAAAAGAAAAAGATCATTAAAGCCCATTTTCGATATATCTGTGCAATAGTAATTTTTTAAGACTACTGAAAATGGACTTTCACATAAGGTACTCTTTTTCTATAAGCACTATAGTCAGTTTTTTCTGTGCATAGTCTAAGACATAATGAAGCTTGTTGATCAAAAACAGCATTTATTGTAAAAAATAAACAGCATACTTTGCAACTAAATTAAAACATATAAATTGTACATCCGCATTCATAGTAATTTAAATCTCAGCATCATAGTTATTTTAATTACTCTCGTTGAATTCTGAAACGAACCCATAGTCACCAAGTATCTCTCCATTGAACAGGGTTTTACAGCTCAAGATTTGAAGATATTGCCACCTTATGAATTATAACTTGTAAAGAATATTTGATTTTCAATTAATTTGCATAAAACATAAAATATTTCCAACAACAGCCCCTTTATGAATTATGCAAGAAATCATACACCACAAAAAATATTTCAACCATTCTTTAGACGGAAAATGGCTTCGTTAAAAAATCAACCAAATTAAGTTTTGAATTTACATATATTTCAATACAAAAAGTTCTCCATTTAACATTTGTCTAATAAATTAAAAATTTATATCTATATGTTCTGTTTTCATATTTTTTCTGGTAGTCTTTACAAAAATAGATATCACAAAACTGTATAAGAATATCAATATTTAAAACATTCAATTCTTCAGCTACATTATAAAACCAAGTAATTTCTTTCACATTTTCTGTAAGTGCCACAAACTTAAATTCCACAGAATTTTTGTTCTACTGATTTCCACATAAATGGTACTTTATCTAAGTATAATATATAACCACTATTTGAATGTCTTTGTTACATCTCCAATTTGCATCAGAATATCCTAATATTTTGCATTCACTTAAATTTGAAAAATTAATTTTTAAATATTTATTATTAAATACATAATTTAAAATGTCCAACACAATGCTAATATGTGTACCCATTTGAATATTGTGACATTATGTTTACCAAAAAAGCTATATCGGGTCTACTCATATTTGACAAATGACACCCGATTACTGTTCTATTTGTTTATTATATTCTATTTATGGATTAAATCATTCTCTATTTTTTTCATTCATTTTTTGAGGTAAAACATATCCAATTTTGAAGAGTAAATAAAAAAAACTTTTAGGCAATTCTTTAAATTTATCAATTAGTTTATCACTATAAGATTCCTGACTTAAATAAATGTTATTTTCAAATTACTCAAAATTTATTCCAAGAAAATATTTTACTTCCTCTTATTCCTTTATTTCAAGTTTAGTTTTTATTAAATTCGTTATGCTGTCAATTAAGTCTAAGTTTTTACAAAACATTATAAAATCGTCCACATAAACTAGCAATACAAAATTTTTATCAAATGTATAAACACAATTACACCATTTTAGTTTTTAAAATTCTTATTTCCTCAGTACTACTCATTAAACCATTCTCTTCCACATTGGTGTAAACCATAAAAAGTCTTTTTTAATGAACAAACTATATTTTCCTGAACTTTCATACAAAATCCCTGAGGTTGTTTCATAGAAACAGTCTCTTTCAAATTCCGTTATGCAGCATTAACATCTATTTAACTATGTTTCCATCCTAAATATGCTACAAGTATTATAAAAAATCGAATTATAGAAAAATTAACTACAGGAAAAAAGACATGTTCGTAATCTAAACCTTAGTTTTGACCAAATCCACTAACAACTAAATGTGCTTCTAAATTAGTTTTCTCACTTTTATTATTTTTTAAAGTATTATTGTCAATAAGTTTAACATTTGGTGATTTGTCAACAAGTTCCCAGACTTTACGTTGTTTCATCATTTTCAACTGGTCTTTCATAGCACTTTTAAACTTTGGTCAAATCCTGAGAGTGTTCAAAATTTTTGGGAAGAATTAAGCTTTATGCATTAAAGCTTAGAATTAGGAAAAATTAAGCTTTATGCATTAAAATTTCACATTCACTTTCTTTATTATTTTTCTTCTTTATTCCTTTCACTTTCTTTATTATTTTTATTATTCTTTCTTTATTATAATTCTTTAGTATTTTTATACTTTGTACTTAGTTTGAAGTTAAACTTTTCAGGATAAAATTTTAAACTGTTACTCTTACAATACTTTTCTGCATCATTTAGAGATCTTAATCTAACATTATCAGGAGGATAATAATACACATCAATCCTATCACTTAGATAGATTTCTACGTACTTCAACACTGTTTCACAAAACTGTATCTAAAGGTATAGTTTTAGGTTGAGCTTTCAGACTCTTATCTGTTTTATCCCTTTCTTAAATATCTAATTCAATAGGATTAGGATAGCTCTTTCTAATTTATAGTTGCATCTATTGACTGAATCATGAAAGAAATTTACACTGTTGAAATTTTCTTTTACTTTTACCTGAATACTTTCACATACATGTCTGTCTTTGGGTAAATATTTTCTATTTCAGTTATTCATTTGAGTCGTATAACCTACGGAAATTATGAGTTTGACTCTATCTTGCAGCTTGTTTCGGTGAACTTTTGGAATATGAACGTAAGAAAAAGAACCAAAATCTTTTTAACTGAAGGTTTTCTTCCTCTCCATAATTCAAAAGGAGTCCGTGAATTTATGAACAGTCCCATTCCTTACATATACAAAAGTATGAAATGCCTCACCCCAGAATTTAGGTTCTAACCCACAATCCTATAACTCATAGCCACTTTCACTATTGAAATTTTCACAAATACCATTTCTTCAGGAGCATACGTAGTAGTTTGTTTTATTTTTATTCCTAAAGAAGTTAACAATTTTTCAAACTCATTTAGATACCATTTCATATCTCGATCTGTACAAACAATTTTTAATTTAATTATTTTTCTGACTTAGGTAAATAATCTTTGAAACAATTAAATTCATTTGTATAAACATCAATTTTTCATTCAAATTTTTTTTATAACAAATTAAAAAATATGAATATCTACCATGCGATTAATATGGAGAAGGTCCCCATACATCACAATTTACACATTCTTAAACAAAATTCGTGAATAACTATGCTTCAAAGAACTTCAAGTAGATTTGGAAATACGACAGTTTAACATTTTACTTTTAACTTTATCAATGCCTTTTACATCATTATTAGGTACTAAAATTTAATTATTGATGTGACAAAAGAGTCTATGCAAAAAAATTAACTTCAATAGTTGTATCTTTACTCCAGCGCCATCTACAGTAACGTTTTGTAACAGAGTTGCAATAAACAAGCTGTCCAAAGGTAGGTGGTGCTCTCTCTCTTGACGTATTCCAATGCTAGCATTTACCAGATATAGAAAAATTACTAATTTTAGGTCTTACCAGCGATAATACAGTCCACACTAATTAGAAGTGAAGATTCATAGATAAATAACTCCATTTGTTACCCCGCAGCAACATAAATTTGGTCCGCTCAGCGCCGGCAGGTAAATAATTTTACAGTATATAATTAGGTATAATCTAAATAAACTTTCGAATTTATTGTATTTAGTAAAAGTAGTATCTTAACAATTAAAACATTCTGTATAGATTTCGGTAATCACAAATACATTTGTATTGTTTTGTTTTAAATTATTCATCTTACTTATTCATATTAAAATTTATTACTATTATGAGGAATTTCTAAATTAAAAACAATTAACAATGGAAAAAATCGACAAATTAAGAAAGAAACGTACCACAATTCGATCAAGTATTTCAAAAGCAATAACTCGATTAGACGAGTTCATGTAAAATAAAGATAAACAAACTTATGAAACAAATGAAGCGGAACTAAACGAGTTGCAGGAAATTTTAATTAGTAAAGAATTAGACATAAAAACTTAAATTCAGAAATTGAAGAGTTTATAACAAATGCAACGGAATATGAACAAGAAATCGCAACAAGCGAAGAGTACAATGACAAATTACTGTATGCAAAAACCACCATAAAAACGTGTTTCAAAGCTCTGAATCAGTCAAATTTAGAAAATACGTTAATGCAAAACTCGCAAAATTTAAAAGAAAAAACTGCAAGTAAACAAAGCATAACTCTTCCTGAAATACCCATGCCAAAATTCTCAGGAAGATACGACGAGTGGAAATTATTTAAAATACAATTTGACAACATTATTACGTTAAATGATTTACAAAAGTTGCATTACTTAAATTCTTCTCTAATAGGAGAGGTAAAAAAACCTCAAACGCTTCACGATACATTTCAGTCATTATTCAAAGCGTTTGAGGAGCGATACGAAAATAAACGCTTAATTATTCTGAGTCACATAAAAGCAATATTAGATGTCGAAAAAATAAACAATGAATCCGCAAAGGAACTTATGCACCTAATTGACACTATAAGAAAAAAATCTGAGAGCTCTTCATGGTTTGGAATATAAACGAAATGATTTATCAGACATTTTCGCTTTAAATATTATCATTTCAAAACTCGACAAAGAAACTAGAAAACAATACGAACTAAGTTTATGTACGCAGGAAGTTCAAAAATTAGATTCCTTATTATTATTTTGGAAAAAAGAGCACAAATTCTAGAAAGTTATCAAAATGCTTCTCAAACAGCACAACTAAAAGTGAAAACAGAAAAGTCAAGGTCAAGATCATTTTTAGTCAATGAGAAAAATGTACCACTATGTGTTTTATGTTCAAATAATCATCCCATTTTTAAATGCGATTATTTTCTAAAGCTTAATGAAGAGCAAAGAACTGAAGTCATATAAAAAAAAAAATTATGTTATAATTGTTTATCCAAGTTGCACTCTGTATGAAACTGTAAATCGAAACATTCTTGTTCGAGTTGTGGGGGCAGACATAGCACATTAATTCATAGGCGTCAAGGGGAAAATGTAAATGATTCGT